CAATAGGGATTGCCTTGCTGTACATCTGAAAATAGGCCTTCCACCTACTGGTGAGTGGTACCTCAGCCTCCGTCAGAGGGAAGGAACTCAACCCCTGCCCATTCAACACACACACCTCGGCTTAGTCCTGCTCCCCTTCTAGGTCTGAAAAAGTTGAACCATTTTGAACAGTAGTTAATTACTCTAACTGCAGGATCCCCACACATCAATGGAGTTTTAACACAATATTAAATCTCAGTAAGCTTTTTCTTCCCCTGAGCCTCTTGCATGGTCCAAGCCCAACATCTTTCCTTTGGAAAGGCCAGTAACGGTGACAAGAGCCCTGTTTAAAGTACAGCAGGGTGAGCCTTGGGAGCATTTTGTACCCTGATCTCTCTGGCCTGAGGACTGTTCCAGAGGACTACTCTACCCTTTGCTTTTTGCAATATATAGACTTGAGAGCTGAATAGAAATTATTCCATTTTTATATTTCCCCTATTCCAGAATTCAGGATACCCATCGCCTCTGACCCATTACCATCCTTGTGACACAAACCAGCTGCCCAGCACACCCTGAACAGTGGCAGGCAGAGGGAAGCCTGGCTTAGCTTTCCTTTAGTAACCTTAAAATCATAACTGAAAAAAAAAAAACAAACCTCTGTTCAAAATTCACATGCAACTTCCATTAGTCCCACAAAGCTGTCCCTCTATTTTATAAGAATTTCCCATTTGTTATTGTTATTAAAGAGCAGGAACATGGTAATTTAAATTACTCTTTGCTTTCATTTTCAATGACAAAAAAAAAAATAGAGGGGGGAAGGCACTTGTTTCAATAAAAGAGCTTCTGAAATAGAAAAATTTATGCCTTTTATGCTGGAATAGAGCAGCAGAGCTACGGAAAGAATAAGGTTGTACGTGTCTCTTGTAATTGCACAGTAGAGGAGCTGCCAACAGCACACACTACTTAGAGAGTCATTTAAGGAACTCTGACTGTCCACCTAAATGTATTTCCCTCAGGAAACAGAAAAGAGGTTTTATTGCACCCTGGTTTTCCTTTTTTCGGTAGCTTTTGAAAATTATGTATGCATGGGTATTTTCAGCTTAATCATATTTTATAATTTTTAAACTATTACTTAAAACTCAAATTCAGTGTAATCAGCCCATCTGTTAGCAATGCTTATAAAATTATGTCGAAGATTAAAAAAAAAAATCTGATGCAGTGTCAATATGTCCCAGCATAATTAAGCTTGGTTTATGATGAATGACTAGGATATGGCTTTTGTCTACTTGAGCAGCTTGGAAATGGAAAAACCTTTCATAGACTTACCGTAACAAACGTGAGGGTGTGGAGAGAACGACACCAACAATTGACACTCAGGTCCTGTGTTCATAGATGGGATGTCTTTGCAGGCCCTGGGACATGCCAGCAGAAATTCCACGTCACAACCAAATTCACTGCATTTTTTCAGTCCATCAAACGCGAGCTTGGATCTACTCTCCTCCCTGTAAAACATCACCCAAAGAGGCATTACAAATGTAAGTTTGCTAAATTCATTAATCATTTTCAAAAGGGCCAACATGACCTGTATAGGCTCATGGAAAACTCAGCCCAGCATTCCCTTGCAAGAATTGAGGGTAGCCCTAAAAATACTTACTCTCATCTTCAGTACTTGAAGCAGAGCAAAACAGCCTCATCTACCCCCAGCAAGAGTTAACATTTTAAGCATTTTAATTCTGGCGTTGGTGTGAAACAGCTAAATATAATCATCTCTGTTGGGAAACCATTCTTTATCTGGACACTTTTTGTCCCTTTTAAAATGTGTCCTTGAGGAAAAAAAAAAAAGTTTGTTTTGCAAAAATAAAACTGCACAAGCCCCTTTCTATAGCCTATGTGCTAAACTTCCTGCAAAGTCTTCCTCCCCTACAAACTCTGCCTGCAGATGAAGTGTTTTAACCTTGCCCTCTTAATTTATTCTACATTCTAATTTTCAATAAACAGATGCCGCCTCTTTTCGCGCTTGTTTCCACATTGTTCCACATTCTGCCTGGGTTGTTTCTGCATGTGTGAATATTCAATTATCTATTTCTCCATGATTCTGCAACTGATGTACTGACTGTCTGGACAGGTTTGGGGGAGGGTAAGCGGGGAAGGCAAAACTTAGAAGAAAAAGAGTTACAGAAGTTTGAATTCTCCTGAAAGTCAGGTACTTTTCCTGAAAGCTATTAAATTAAGAAGAAAATCGTAAGCCATGACTAGAAATGCAAAGATTACAGAAACACTAGTGCACAGGAGCAGAATTTGCTGCCTGCTGGCTTGTAATTAAGTATTTCTTTGGACAGCACTTGGGTGTGACATGTTCGAGAGACCAAAGGGGCAGAAGAGGCTGTTGGTGCTGCTGCTTCTGGAAATTGTGTCTTTTTGTGCTAAAAAGCACAAAGCAGCTGATTGCTGTGTGGTTATTTATAGCTAAGAAGAGCTGATTGATAACACATTAGGACTCAAAGGTGAAGGATGCTTTATAGAGGATGAAATATTGATCTTTATGGGAATGGCCCAAAACGAGATTACGGGACAGGCCTAAAAGCACAAGGGCTCTTCAGCACAGCTCTCGAGACCCTCTGGCCCAAGAACCTGGGTGCAGATATAGATAGAATTACCTTTCATCTGTAAATCCATGGAATTCAGGGCACAGAAGTGAGGGCTTCCAAGCTCAACAGTCAGTAACCACTGCTGCATTACTCACGTGTACTCATTCCCCTCTTTCCTGAAGCACTGCTGAGTTCTTACTGGTTGCAGCCTGCACCATCACCTTGCAGTGACAACTTGACAACTTCGAGGTGCTGTGGAAAAACGGAGCCAAACTGCATTTCAGAGGCAGGGCCCAAACCTGGTGGCTTGGGCAGGGACAAAGGTTGGGTCCAGAGGTTTACGTTTGCCAAAACCAGTACAGAATTTAGAAGAGCAGAGGTGGATCTGGAGCTCACACCCAGGAACCTGCAGCTGGGGCAGTTCCAGATGCTGAATGGAAGAGCAGCAGAGCAAGGACGTGCTGATGCAGAAGCCTCAGCTCCCTGGGCAGCCCCTGCTCCTCCCTGGCACCAGCCCACTCTCTGCCTTCTCTTACAGCCACACCAGTCTCTTACCTGGCAATAAATAACTGGTTTTTGCTCACCTGGCGAGGGCTGACTTCAGGGCACAGCGAAACACCCCAGTCTCTCCTGTAGGTCCTGCAACAAGAGCAGAAAAGATGCAGACAGAAAAATGTGGCACAAAAACTTCGGGGCTAAGAGGTTCCTGTGAAAGACTTCTCTGTAATCAGTGGAGCTTGATGATTAAGAGCCAGAGCAGAATCCTGACACTAAGAGGAGCATGTGTCTTGTCCTCAGGCTCTGTGGCTGTGGAACCCTTAACTAATGTAATGCAACTGCACAGCTGTTTAACGCTGCTACTCACCAGTGCAGACACTTGGTGACAACAGCCACAACAGCAAAAGCCTCCAAAGGGCAGAACAAACCCGATAAATAACTTTCTTGCCAGGCACTCCTGCCTTTTGGTCTTGGAACCCAGGGGCAAATGCTGGTTTGCCCAAGGAAGCTGCTCCCCCACCCTCCTCTGCTTCTGAAACCCAGAGCTTTCCCCGCCGGAGCCACCCTAATCCCTCCCTCTCCAGAAGGAGCAGTTGGAGTAGGAGTAGCAGGAGTTCGGTAGCTAAAGCCTCAAAACCTGAGTTGGGCCATCCATCCCAAAGGTGCTTTGCACTATCAGCTGGCTGGGCTCCAGGCGTTACAGACACTGAGAAGTTAATTCTCCCACCACCTGTGAAATAGGAAGGGTCTGTCAGTGCTGCACCCCTGCAAAAACCAGTCACTCACCTGGTGTGGTACCTCTGGGACGAGGCTCAAACCTCCAAGCGTCTCTGCACACATCATTGAGCCTCCCTCCTCTTGAAAGGGAGACACGAAACGTTTGTGTCCCTGCAAGTCAGGCATTAAGCAGAACTTGGAACGCTTGCCGGGCTCTGCAGGGCAGAGTTTTAACTGTGAGGAGTTCACTGTGAGGAGAGCTGGCCCCCACACACTGAGTCCCAGGAGATCAAAGAAATTAAAACAAACCAAGAAAAAAATTGTGATGTCTATGGAAGTCCTGCACAGCCAGAGAGAAGCACTGCCTGGGTGTAGCCTTGCTCTGTGTGTGGAGACAGACATTGTGAGCACTCGAGTTCCTGAGCAGCTGCAGCTCTGCTCTGTGCACCCACAGTGAGAAAGCTCAGCATGAAAACCCAAAACCACAACAAACCCCACAAAACTTTCTGACCTGAAAATGAGCGGGAAAGGAGAGGCGATGTTCCTGGAGCGCGCTGCCCGGCTGGAGACGGTGACAAACGCCTCCGTGAGCCTCCCCGTATCGCTGCCCGGCCCTCAGGAGTGAGAAGGTGCATCTGATCTGGGGACGGCGCCCACCAGACGAAGCCAAAGCCATTCCCTGTCTCCTGCTCCTCTGGAATCTGGATGAGTGCCGGGGGAATCCCCACAGCACGGGGACAGGGGACAGATGGGCAGGTAAAGCAGAGAAGCGCAGAGCACCCGTACATCAGAAATAGAGAAAGATTTAATTCCATGCTTGGTTAATATTTACAGACATCGGAGTTGGTGTTAGAGACGGAAATAAAAGACGGAAATAAGAGACAGAGGCTGCAGTAGCCAAGCAAAGCCAGAATCTAACAGGTTAGAGCATTTATTGTGAACCAACATATGCCCGGAGTGTGGAACGGAGACACACTAGAGAAACTGAAAGAGTAAATAAATAAATATTGACATTGTTCTACACCTGTTTAGCCTCTGGAGACCAGTGATTTGTGGGACCATATGTTGGACAAAATGAGACTGTTCGTTGATAATTGTAAATGTGGTGACCCCTTGCAAACTAGATATTAAAAATATTAAGTAAATGGCACATTTTAATTATACAGTAAAGAGGCTGTTCTCCACCATTAAAGGACTGCAGCTGTCAGGAGGAATTGATCATATGACAGAAGGTAACATTTATTTGATAGTAGACCTTGGTAAATGACATCCCCAATGATCTTTAGTTTCTCAGACAAACACATTCAGTTCAGACTTGGGTTTAACCATGAGGCTTCACTGTCTTTGTCTTTCAGCTGAGACAATTTTTATCTGTTCCTCATATACTATAGGGTTTGTTTTTACTTCTGTTTTAATCTGCTTTGCAGTATTTAAATTTCAAATGAAGTATTATTAAATGAGAACCTGTAAACGATGGAGTTTGGAATTGGAAGTCAACACATTTGTTATTCTTTTTGCCAAAGGTATCGAGTAAGTTGCATAATTACCGTAGTATTATATCATCTTTGTCAACATAAACACAGCTTTTATCAGCTTTGCAAGTGCCATTAGTGAACAACTGAACGTGCAGGCTCCAAAGAAGAGCAGCCCAGGAGGGGCTGAGAGCATTGACGACGCCTTACAAAGTTGCATAAGGAGATGAAGTAGAGACAGGCAGCCAGGAGTCACCGGCAGAAACGCCAGACGCTCTCATGGAGATGCTTCTACATCTGAGGCAGCTGAGAGAACCTGCAGAGAGCTTCTGGAGCTTCCCTCCTGCACAATAGGTTGTGATCCCACTTTAAGACAAATGTGTGAATGTAAAGCAGCAGCTCACGTGGATTGATCTTCTCACTGATCCAGAGAAACCCTTCTATACACAGCCTTTGATTTCCTCCCCCCAGCTCCGTTTCTGATTTTAGGAAGGGGAGGTTCCTTGTCTCACATGGTGCCGATCCTGTGGTGAGGCACTTGCAGAGTCTGAAGGTTGGGGCACGTGAAATAAGGAGCTGGAAGGAAACAAGCTGCTATTCCGTTGGAAGCAAAGGGGAGCGTAGGCCCGTAGAATACTTCTTCCTTCCCTTCCTTGCTAACGTCCAGCACCTGCAGGCCACAGAGGACAAAATATTCCAGGGATCACAGAAGGAAGCTCAAACAAATTTGCTGGCACGCGCCGTACAGATGTACTATTAATCCCAACAGAAAGGAGTTCTCAGCTCATTTTCAGACTGCATTTATGGTGGTCTGTTGCTGTCCTTGTCACCCACATCTTACCCCAGCTCAGGCACTGGGTAGCAGCAGTGACATTGTCTCCTACTGAACGTGCAGCCCATGCAAGAAGGGTGCCCTGCACAGAAACACCGCTCCCGCCACAGAGCCATTTGTCAACCCAAGTTGGAAAGGCCAAATAAATGAATGACTTAAAGAAAATGAAGATATATGGAAAAAGAGGATTATTTTTTTTTTTCCTTCCAAAGGACCGAGCAACCTCAAATTTGCTGAATGTGAAGATAAAAGGGCTGGGTGTGCTGGTTAAAGCCAGGCAGGCTGCCAGCAGCTGAGACGGGGCAGCGCACACAGCTCTGTAAGGCAGGGACGGTCACGGGTGGGCTGCCAGCTCACAGCCCAGCTGGGGACACGCACAAACGGCCATGGAAGAAAGCAAGATCCCAGGATCACTGTCATTTGTCACTCAGCAGTATTTAAACCCCTGAGTAATACTGGAAAGTACCTGCTGATTAGAAATGAGGGTGTTGGTGGAGAAATACAGCCACCGCCCTGACACTGCCCTGGTGCTCCAGCTGGAGCACTGTACATCAGCTGGTGAGGCCAGTCTGAATGAATTCTTCCAATAACAACTGTTAGGTGTCCAACAATTCAGTAAAACAAAACTATACTACGACCAGAACACGGTTTTAACTTATCTTGCACAATCTATTCTTTCCAAATCTCAGGCTAATGAGTATTCATTATAAGGTCAGCAGCTCAACATCCAATACATTCCCTTCTTATGCTAAGTCTAATTTCTTAGTCTCATGGGACAGTTTGAAAGTTAAATCCTCAAATCCTTAGTTGGAAGCAAATGAAAATGTTGTTTATCAGCAAAAGTGCAGAAACTGAGATGTGAACAGGAGTTTCTGCCTGTAACCCCCAGCTGGAGGCAGAGCCCGGCTGTCACGCAGACCTGCTCCCCTCACAGATGCAGCAAGACACCAATTCCTAGTTTCTGTAGGGGAGTCTCTGAAAGCCCCGGATCCGCAGGCAACCTGCTCTTCCAGGAGATGAGAGAGCAGAAGAGTTTGTTGGACAACCTATTGCCTACAGCAGGGATCAAAAACCTTCCACTCAAGCTTTGAAGCGGTAAGCGCTAGGGCAGGTTGCAGCCTGACTGAACTTTGTCAAAGAACAACTCGTTAACTCTGGCTGCTCTTCAGAAAGACAACTTGGAGAGAAAGGGAAAAAAAAAGGGCAAAAAAATAATAAAAAAAAAGAACAAGAAGGGCTGAAAAATTGTTAGCCTGTACCCCATCATCCATCTCTGCAACCCTGTAACTTCTGAACTCGTCTGTGTAACCCGAGAATATATACTCAGTGTTTTACTCAAACCTCCCCAAAGGAGAGACTCCTCAACCCTGTTTTATTAGAATATCTTAGAATAATCGGATCTAATGGCTCATCTGGAAGTATTTTTAATACCCACAGTATTTCCTCTCTGTGTTTATGCAGGTTCAGCGGCTGCATAAGAAACATCCTTAATCTCCCCACTTCACATGCGTTTTCCTTTCTGAATAACCTCTGTGCAAAATGTATCCTTGCAGAATTATTGGAAAAGACTTTAAAAGAAACCTAAATTACTCACCTGGATACATGCCAAGGGCTCATTTGTCCAAATCGAATAGCCGCCAACTAAATAGATTCTACCATTGTGGACGGCGACTCCGGACTCGTTTTGACCTAGAGCAAAAAAAAGGAAATAGAAACCACTTTCGGTGTGTAATTAACCCTTTTAACACCAAATGCTGGAGTTCTGTAATACGATGCAAATGCACTGGGCGGTAGCTGGGAATTCACAACCTGCAACAGTGAGGCTGAAGCGTGGGGGCTGTTCCTGTCCAGAGAGACACCCCGGGATGAGCAATAAGCCAAGGCTGTGCAGGGGACCATCCACTGCCTCCTCCGTGGCACAGGGGTTTGTAGGTGTGTGTTTTCACAGGGACAGGGAAGCTCCCCGCCTGCCCCTCGCCTGCTCTCACACACACACAGCCAGGTAGAGACATAGATCAAGAGAGCTGAACATCCCTCACGTTCTGCCCACACCTGCTCATCCCCCCCCTCAACATCCTCCCAAACAAGTTTGGACGTTTTGAAGGATAAATACAGCCTTAAAAAAACCTTCACCACAGAGTGCAACATTTACAGAGACAATGCAAAGAAAAGCTTCAATGGTTTCTCAAGGTGTGGACTGTGGAAACAACCCACCAGGTGATACCTGAGGAGAGGCTACCATCCCACAGCATCTACTGGTATGGGGGCAGCTCCAAAACAAGGGTACCTGCAGTGCCAGCACTTTAGCAGTTGCAAATCAGATGGTTTCCCTCTCAAAGGACATCAGTTCCTCCGAATAAAAAAAATAATTAAATGGAGAGTAAAAAGGATACAAAAAAACTAGTTCTCTTTGACCACCTGTAACTCCTTTTTTAATCCATGCCTCTCTCCCCAGTGTCCATGAAGTACTTTGATGACCTGACTCAGAAACCAAGCGATCCTTCTCCAGATCCCAGAGGCTGAGAAACCCAATGCAATCTCTTAAAGAACAAAGTTGTCACTAGAGCAGCTTTGAAACCTACCAGGAGGAAAATGCCATAAGGGGACTGTCTTACTTGTCAGACGTTCACTGCTCTGACTTGGTGTTTCCAGCTATCCTCAGCTTCTAGTTAAGCTCCTACATCCTTTGTATCCCTTTTCAGTGGTAGATCTTAGAAATGAATGCGATGCCAAATGGAAGAGGATGAAAAGTGAGGTAGGCTTAGTCCTAGGACTCCTACCGGAGTCTGCGCTGAAACGTGTTGGCAGCCAGTACTGTTAGTAGGTGACCTCCAAGTCTGCACAAGAGAATGGTCCCAACTTTAATGCTCTCTTCTGCAGAGCTGCTGGTGGTGCTACTCTGAGAATGTCACCTGCCTGTCTCCCAGGGGTTAAGGAGGTAGGACACCACAGAATTGTATTAAGTGGCAGTGAAACCTGGTGGCAGGGGCAGTGGGTTGCAGTGCTTCACACGGTGCTACTTCAGCAGTTCCTTCTCATGACAGTCAAGAGGAACTTTACAGATCCATCACAAACCAAGATACTCAAGTCAACCCTGACGACAGAATTACAACAAAGATACCTCCTTTCGTGTCACTTATTAAGAAGACACTGCTTAGAAATAAGTGATGGTTAATGGAGTTCAGTGCTGTGTAACGCCAGCAGGAAATGCTATAAAACAATGCCATGGTAGAGATGGAGCTGCCCATTGAGCACTCAAACAGGGACCTAAGTCTTATCAGTGCAGGCAAGCTTTTGGAGAACCAAAAATAAGTACTGGTAATACTACAACAAAGAATTTCTCATTGCTTAATTAAATTACATTTATGTGCACTTTGTTAAAAATTTATCTTACAATGTCCTAAGAAAAATGTTCTGTAGAACACTGAATGCCAGAACAATAATCAAAAGTGTCTTGTTGGCTTCTAGTGGCCCCTAAACCAGAGGGAATTGAGGCGAAGTCATGCAGTTCCACATACTAAAGGGAGAAGAATTGTTTTATTCTAGTAGTAGCAAGTTTTTTCTTTTTGTGTACAGTACTCACCTGTCAACATGTTGAAGTTGCAACGCGTCCATTGGTCAGCATCTATGCTGTAGGAGTCTATGTGCCGCACCAGGATGCGGTCGTTGTTGTAGTCCAGATCATTCCCACCCAAGACGTAAAGCTTCCTTTGGACGGCAGCCATGGAGTGGTACACCCTCCTCTGCAGCATCGGGCTACGGCTCAGCCACTTGTTCTGCAAAGGAAAGGAAAGAACTGGTCTCAGCACCGCTCAAAGAGGTACCCAAAGCAGCAGCACAGTAACAGCAGCGTGTCGGTGGGGTTCTCTTACCCTCGGCCAGAAATCACAACTGCATATACTTGTGGTGTCCATACGTTAAACATGCATGTTGGTTATAACACTGACTAGACATACTGGTCTAGTTTCAACACTTGGTTTACAGTTCTCATATTTAAATGCATTAATTTCATAGTATTTCTTGCTCTGTATTTTTTCCGTTTACCTCATCAGGTTTCAAAGCTTTTTTTCTTCTTAAGAATTCAGTAGCAAACCCTCCTTAAGCAAAACTATTAAATGTCTCCTTTGTATACAGCTCTAAAATTATCTGTAGCAAGGAGCTCTGTTATGAGAGAAGAGAGATTCTTCTTTCTACCTTTCATTATTCAGAAGCTTATTTGATCTTATCCCTGGGGAACGAAGCAACAGGGAAAAATAATTTCCTAAAGAATCTTCTCAAATGATTCGGTTTAATGCTGACCCTTTATTTGTGGGCACTTACACAGTAACATCCTTTTGCATATTTTTCTTCCTGGTTACCAATATTCAAGGATTCTACCTGTTCCGGGGAGGGGCAAGAGGACACGGAAGGAGAGGGATTTTAAACCTAAGACAGGAATGGCTCCTGCTGCGCTCACCAGGTCACACAACCTGGCCGTGGAGGAGATTAATTTCTTTTAAGTGGAGGCAGTTAAAACCTGTGAGGAAATTCTTTGTGTTCCAGGGGCGGTAACTCGAGAGGCTCTAACGCTCCTGCCTTTTAACCTCCCCAACACAGAGCCGTACATTTCCGTGTGTCAGAGTTGAATATTAGGCATTAATGTTTGCATTAGCAGTCCGGTCTCTTAACACCAGACTCTAGGCACCATCTGCTTCCCAAAGCCTGCCTGCATCCCCTGATTATATCTTCAGCTTCCTGGGCCGCGCTGCCTGCCAGGTGAGCCGCGCGGCACCGCAAAGGCAGAGAGACGCAGGGGCCTGGCGGGGTCGTTTCTAATAAGCTGGTGTGTGAATACTAATGAGGGGGGGGGAAGCAGAGGTCACCCCGGCCGGGTTGTTGGCAGGTAGCTGTGTGCTGGGTGGCAGATGGCAGGCATTATCGACTCGCCACAAAGGCCTCGCGCGGGAGCGAGCGGCGGGGCTGAAATGATGGAGTTATTGAGATTCCGTGCGAGATGCGAGCAGATGTGATGGTTTCCAGTACCCACCGTAAACAATATGCCAGCAGAATTTTTAAAAAGAGCTCGTGTGTACAAACACGAAGCGGGGACCTCATTTGAAGGATGCGAGAGCACACTTCCCCCTGTAACTCTTTGCACGCCGGGCCGGGTCTCTCGCCTGGAGCAGCCCTACCACTGCTATTTTGGGGAGCAACTTTCAGGTCAGCAAGCAGAGAATCCAAGCAAAGATGCACCACAGAGACACGGTGTCTAAATAAGAGCATCCCCCTCAAAAGCAAAATCAGGTTGCTGCCTGTAATCACTACCTGGATTTAGGACAGAATCAGCATTTGTACAATCGATGCAGGAAAGTGCACCTCGAAAATAAAGAGGCAGGTGTGTCATCACTTGTTTTCTGCTGCAGGACCCGTATGTGCTACACTTCAAAAAGTCAGTAGGAGCCATGTAGAAGGACCTCCTGGCACAATTTGGTTCCAAATACAGCAATCAAAGCCCCCATCCTACAATCAGAAAAGTCAATATTCTTCCACGCAGGTGTAAATCAGGCTACGCAACTCTGATTGCAAGCTTAGGACTTTTAATTCCTACCACAAGCAAGAGGGCATAACCATGCCCTAACCCTCCGAAACGGTTACTGAGCCATGCTAACCTAATCAAAACACATACATAATGTATGAAATAATCCCTAAAAGATATTTTAGGTGCTTGGGTAATGAAATGATAGGCACCCTTGCAGCAGCAGAACGAGTCACGGCCAGGTAGTGGAGTTCTGAAACTATGCAGAAAACAAAAGCCCGTCTATGCAATTCAAAGCAGAAATGCCAATGACAAGGAGCAGTTTTGTGACACTGCCTTTGAGGATACGTTGCCCAGGGCTGCTGGATTACAAAAAAACGAACAAGCAAAATAAATACTGATAAATACAGGGGATTTAAAGCACATTTCTGTACTTAATCTAAGATGTTTCTAATGCCTACAGGCTTAAAAAACATAATAAAAAGTCAGGGTCTCCATTACTCTGTTAAACTCACACATCAGGACAAAATGAATTTAAAACACCACTAACTCAAATGGGCATCATTTTTAGCCTTACAAAATCATCGTGTGTATTTGCTAAGAGACCCCTTTGAAGCAAAACATATGAGAAAAAAACACACCCCATACAACACAGATACCCACCTGCTTAGGATCATAGACCATGAGCCTGTTCTGATACTGTGCAGTGTTTGTCACTCCTCCTAGGAAAGAATTTACACAGGTTACAATTTTTCAGATGAGCAAAACCAGGACCAAGATCAGGCACAGCAAAATACCCAATTCCCGCGTTCATTTGCTGACATAATGACACTGCAAACCACCATTTAGGCTCATGTTCCACTGCGCTTCTTAATCTGGTTACAAGGCAATAAGCAGCGCATTTGTCAAACATCTAGAAACAAAACGGCAACAACAAACACTCCCCCGCACTTCTCCCTTCCTCTGTAAAGCTAATTCCGTGGGCTAAAAACAAGATAAAAATTATCTGTTCATTAATGACTGTGCCACCCTCGGGATGAGGGTGAAGCCTGTCCCTGTTCCAAGGAGTGTGCACCGTGTGAGAGGGTTTAGAGGAGGAGGAGGAGGAGGGCTTGCACCAGAGAGGAAGAAGAGGTTGGAGAGGAGCTCTGCCTAACCAGGGACGCCACTGCCAGCTGGAAAGCACAGTACAGCCCTGTGCAACTGCACTCGCCTATAGATTGGAAGGAAATTCTGTATTTAGTCTGTATTACAGGAGAGAACATGAGAACATTACATGAGAACAGCTCCTGGTTTAAGCTGTAGACTTCTGTTGGGAGGGCAACCAGAAACAACACTGCCATTTAGCAAACCTACCTTTTGGTAATGTTTGGAAAGCAAGGTATAAAGCACCTCAGAAAAGCCCAGAATAGTCTGACCCAGATGCTGAAAACCAACTATTTACCTCAACACAGTATACGTTTAATGCCCCACCATCCTGTTTTCTGTTGGTTTTAAACAGCAAATCTCACTGAGTAAACTGGTGGGAAAGGCCTTCAGTCTCAAGCCTGTGTTCTTGCCTGCAGAAACATGTTCTTGAGTGTGCTCAAGCCTCCTGGGGACGTGGTGTCACTGCAGCACTGCCACAGGTGCCATTGGGACCACGGGAAGGTGGGACCAGAAATAACACCTGCAAGCTGCACCTCACCTTTCATCCCACCAGAAGGTCTGGAGCTCAGCAGGGCACACCAGCGCCCACACACCAGTGACACTCATATATAAAACAAAACGTTTTAGGTTCCAGTTTTAACAGCACGTGCCAACAATGGACAAAATCCATCGCAATGAGAGGAGGGAATTTCACTTGTCATTACGTTTGTTGATGCTCCTCTTTTTGTGAGGACATCCCCTGTTTCAAACAGCAGAGTGGCAGGGCTGCTTTCACTCCTGCTGACTGAGCTGTGGCCCAGTCCTCCTAAGGCCACTGGGGTTTGTTCTGTTAACGTGGCTCCGTGCTGGGGAATCCTCATTTGCCAGCCTCCAGCTGCACCTAGTGCAGGGCTTTGGTTCAGAGCCACACCAGGAGTCTGAAGCAGCTCCCCCACCTCTCACGTGTCATTTTAAGCTGTAGGGTGGCACTGGTGCACATTCCAGTTCAGCCAGAAGCTCCACTCCAGATGTCCACCAGCTGTGCTCCAGTTCCTAATGGGGCATAAGGGTGTGAAATAATAACTGGGCTTTTGGATGGTGTTGTACCAGCTGAGTACTGGGAATGTTTGGTCTAGAAGACCAGAATAAATCTATTCCAAAGCAAAAAACATGACCTGTACATGGAGCAGATATGGAGAATCACAGAATCTTCTAGGTTGGAAGGGACCTTAAAGATCATCTTGTCCAACCGGCAACCTAACTGACAAAAATAGACACCCACCCAACAAACAAGGAGCAGCATCAATTAACCATACCTCCCAGCACTACATCAACCCGTCTTTTGAACACCTCCAGGGATGGTGCCTCAACCACCTCCCTGGGCAGCCCATTCCAATGCCTGATACCCCTTTCAGTGAAAAAATTTTTCCTAATATCCAGCCTGAACCTCCCCTGGCGCAACTTGAGGCCATTTCCTCTTGTCCTGTCGCCTGTGACTTGAGAAAAGAGACCGACCCCCATCTCTCTACACCCTCCTTTCAGGGAGTTGTAGAGAGTGATATGAGAACTCAGCACCAAAGTTTTATCTGCTGACCTGCCGCTCCTGGGCTGAGCCACTCACTAACAGAGATGCACCCTCTCATCACTCCAAAGTGAAGCCAAGAATCTGATCAATGGATAGCAGAAGCTATGGCCAAATCTAGTCAAGAACCTTGTCCTCCACCACAGCAGCAGGAAGGAATAACGCTGTTGTTTGGGTGCATCTCTGCCATCACCAGCCCTTACTGGGGTGGCAGCACAACCTCCCAGCTCAGAGCCGCTCCGAGACAGCCGAGATGAGGTGTAGTCTTTCCACCCTGTTTCCATCACCCTGTGCCACAGGCTGCCCAGCACAGCACCTGTGAAGTACACACGCAAGAACACGCCTTGGAAAGCAGGGACGTTTCCCTGTCTCATCTCACAACCTGTTAGTTGTGCCTACGCTGTCGCGCAGCCTTCGCAGTGTCAGTGCCCCTCGGCCACCTGCACAAAGCAATCTGTTTCGTAATTTGATTTTCTTTTACATAGTTATTTTCACTCCCGGCATAGTGTCTTAAAATGAGATGTCGGATTAGTATTTTGAAAAATAAAAATCATAGTTATTTGGATGATTACGTCCAGAATGTTAAGCTACAGGAGATGCATGGGAAACACAACACTGGGTCTTGTACTTCCCCTGTCAGAAAGGACACCTTAATTTGGGGGGAAAGATATGGAGGAAGAAGAGAAAGAATGGGGGTTGCTTCCTCCTAAAATAATGAAATAATCAAATAAGCACAATTATTTGCCTCTCTTCACAAAGAGCCCCTCACATCAGGTACACAGCTTACATTTTTCCCCTGCAATATTGCTCATCTGTGGTGTTTTATCATTATATTCCCTTCACATACCGCTCTTCACTTTTAGATTAATCTGCCAAAATGAGATGCTGAGGATTTGCATACAGATTTGACTACACAAAAATAGATCTGGAATTAATAACAGTCTCTATATGTTTTAATTTCTTCTAGACTGGAGTACCCTTGCCTCCAGCAGAATTCTTGGCTTTGAAAGTCATCAAGCTGATTTGTCTGCTCTTAGGTTATGATGCCACATGCTGCTACACTGTCCCCTGCAATCAAAGTGCTCGCAGAGATAGATTCCATGCCTTCCCCTAACAAGTATATTTTATAGATTGGCAGTTTTGATCTCCCCTCCCCAGGGGGATAATCTGCATCTTAACAGGTTTCTATAGATACATCTGTCATTAAATATGCCATCTTATATCTGCATCAATTTTCAAACTCAAGTTCCTCCTAACTTTGAAGTGCTATAGCAAAAGTTTAAAATTTTCTGCCAAAATTCAAATTTAACAAGTCTACAATGTCCTCTTGAACTCTTTTTTTTAAATACTCCAGGCAGCTGGGAAAGGGCAAAAGAAGAGCAATACGTCTCTTAAAAAAACAGGAAAAGGGGAAAAAAAAGTTTAAACAGCACTAAAAATAATACACGCTTTCTCAGAAAAAAGGGGTAATTCTGAGATAATTTCTTAAGCTTCTCTGTAGTGCTTTCTATGAGGAAAGGAGAAGAGAGGCAGGGAGATGTCGTAACTACACTTCAAAAAAAGTATTTAAAAATACAAACCATGCCATTAAATTTGATGTCAAGCAACAGCAGTTAACATGGTAGTAACCCACCAGTTAAGGAAAGCGGAAAAAAAACCTGGGTAAACGGCTGGGTAAATGACAAAAAATTCACAGTTTGGTCAATGCTCACTGGATTTTTATAAACCCAAAGCAATGATTGCACTGTTTTGAGACAAGCAGCTTGCTTTGAGGGCTAGAGTTTCCAGGAGGCGAGAAGCACACGCAGGACAATTTGCTGTTGCTCGCTCCCTTGCAGGCTGTAAACCCTGCTTTTTAAGCCCTCCAAGACCCCTAAGTTCCCAAACCATGCAACAGTGCCCCTCTACATGGAGAGGTCCTGGAGAAGTCCAAGACCCACCTTGGGAAATATCTGGGTTTATTACAGTCCCCCCAAACAAACTGCACTGAAAAGCACCTTCAATAAAGACACCTCCAAAAAGAGAAGGGTGGGAGGCGGTAGATTCATCAACATTTTCCCAATAGAAAATTTATAATCCATATTTCTAACATGTCCTAGTAAGACCCCCGTATGACTCCAGACATCTAATCCCATCCAAATCCCCCAGAAAATCTCACAACTCACTCCGAACTCTCCAAGTGTTCGAATCCCAGTTTGCTGGGAGACATGTAACCCTACACGTTGGCAAAGATCTCCCACGTGTTTTCCTTCCAGCAAACCCAGGGAATATATAGAAACCTCATGACACGCGCCCCAAGGTGCTCTGCTGGTTTAAAATAGAAAGCTCTCCCCTCTTACGTGTCCGTGTGTTAAACACAAGATAATCCTTCCTCAACGTGCAAAAAACCCTTTGGCTTCAGCCAGCCCAGGTGCACTGAGGATGGCTGAGCTGGAGCGTTTCTCCCACCCTAACGAGTTCCCTGGAAGACACCATCAGCAGCTCTAATCAACATCGTTTCACCTGGGATGCAATCCAGCTGCAGACAAAGGGGCACAAACCCTAGTTTGTTTGTGGATTGTTTTTTTAAAAATCATTAAAACCTGATGTTTACATTCAATCTAAGAAGTATCACTGGCATCAAACTTATAATGTCGATGCTTGAAAGGTGTGAGATCCACTATCTTTATTCAAATCTGATAATAATAATAAAGAAACACTATTTCATATACAGACTGAGACTGGATCACCAAGGTAATTTTTTATGTACTTGTTAAGCTCCTGCTCCCAGTAATTTCTGTGCCAGCTGCACTCCAAAACTTGATCTGGTTAGACACTGTACATTCTTATTTATTCCAGATCTATTTTTCATAAAACAATTTTATAGGCATGTACTGAGAAAAAAATTTTCTTCTCCTCCCAACAAGCAGCATACTGATAGTAAGGTCATACTTGTCCCCTCAAACCACTTGCAAACTCAGTATAATTCTCCAAGATACGTGATCTCCATCATTTCCTTGGTCAAAACCTCCGCCATTAGGGAAAAAATAATAACTAAAGAAAGAGAATTTTGAAGAAAAAGCTGTTAAATATGAAGCAACTGCACAGGGTTGGCTTCTTTACCCCCGCCAAGCTGAGTTTCCACACGCGTGTCAAGATGTGATTTTAGCTGACACGCTTAAGGTCAGGCAAGTTGGACCTTTGGGAAACAACAGCATGGTACTTGGCTTTGGAGAAGACTTTTCATGTGCTAATCTCCTCAGCACTCGAGAGGGAGGGGAAGCCTCCCCATCCCCAGCTGCAGGTGTAGGAATGGCCCAGGGCTGAACTGCCTGGCAGAGGTTCCCTGCCCTTCTCTGTCCCTGGGGACACCACACCTATAGGGGAGGAGGAAGGTCAACAACCAGGTTGAATGCCTACAGAGATGGTGGTGCCCCGATTTGCACACACACGCCACGGAGGATGCAGGGAAAGGAGCACAGTTCAAGCTCTCGCTCTTACAGAAAACATTTCCCTCCTTTCATAGGGAATGATTGTTAGTAATGTTGAACTCCAAAGGGTTTGGTGTGTTTTGTTTCTCTTTCACTCAAATACTTCACTCTTCAAGCATGTGGCATGCAATTCGTTTGTGAACCGGGTCGCGGTGTCAGATGTTAACTGGGGCCTGTAAGATTCATCTTTCTATAAAATTTCAAAACCATCTGCCCGATGCTGTACTGTCGATGCAGAGAACTTATTTTAATGAATTCCCATCTACTTTTTAAAATAAGAAAATAAAATAAAATGCAGGCTGTGAAAAAATAAAAAAAAAAAGAAAGACTGGAAAAAAATAACAACACATATATAAAAATATGTTCCACAAAATATGACGCTCAGAAAACTCAAGAGCTGAGCCCACTTGTGCTCACCAGAGGGTCTGACTAGTTCCAGAGTACAGAAGGCTCCTTCTGAGCCTTCTGGCAAGTTAAAAACCCCAAAGGGCTGGTGGCAGCTTAGGAGTCCCTCTGTCACCTGAAACACTGGCCACCCATCTCCCGCTGCCAGCGTGTGCTCACAGCTCTCTCTTTAACACACTTCCCTTCCCTGCTGCCTTTGCCATGATTTTATGCTCTATTATTTTTTATCCCTTCCTGTATTTGTCCCAAAGGAGCAGCAAAGTAAAGGTGACAATGAATCCCAATAATAATAACAATAATAATAGAAACCCCTTAAGTCTAGTCAGCTTTTGATTAGCAAAGCCTTGAGAAGAGGCGCTGATGCTTTGGCTATAGAGTAAGTAACTGGTCTGTGTGTGGGTCATGTTTTGATGACTCTCCAAAAATACAAGGGCTAGAAACTTGTATTATCACTATTTAATTTCCTCACTTACTAAAAAACTGGGCACATTCTCGTGGTTACCTTGCCAGCTGGTAGCAGCAGACTGACTTTGAGAGCTCTTGCTGATGACCTGTATTTCCCAGAAAAAGCAGCAGGGATACAGCTCAGAAACATCCCTAACTCAGACTAATTTTTTAATTACTTAATTTTAGGCCACATATTTCAAAATTAGGTTCCCTTCTGCATTACTGATTACTCTTATGCTAACACTTTACATTTGATTATGAACAGTGGATTTTTTGAACAATAAACCATTTCTCTGTACTATTCCCCTGCCCCTGAATATACACGTATAGTGAGCTACAGTCTAGCCCTAAGCAATTAATTAATAATAGAAAGCTAGCTACAGTTATTGCATCTCCATCTACTTCTATTTATAAAATAACTCTATTCAATACACAGAACTCAGTTCTCAATCTGTGAGTACATAATTCAGATCAATACCCTACTGAAGTATAGCACAGAATGCTCTCATAATTCATAATAACCTGTCAGAATCTACCAACTCAAAACTGCTAAGCATTTTCTCAAAAATTTGCTCAAAAATACAGCCCAAAAGTCCTGCCTGCCTTATTCCACTGCCAAAACAGTGCTCCTTACTGTGACTTTACAACAAAAGTTATGTTGGTAACATTTGCAAATATAAACGGAATAATACTGATAAAAGCTTTGTTGTTGTTTTGCCCAGTTTTAGAGTTCATCTAATAGGCTTCCACTTACCTCTTCCCTGATTCTACAGCTGTATTAGAGGCACATCCTTGAAAGGAACATCACACTGCTTCATTATAGAAACGCAGATAGTATTTAAACATACAGGCAGGCATGCATTTCACTTACGTAACTGAGCACGTTAATTAATCTTCAGCGTAATTTCCCCTTTCCTAGCACATCTGCAAAGATTACTTTTAATCTTCAACCAGTCCCACATCTGACTTTAAAATCCCTATCAAATATTTCCTTGGGTCTGGGTTTTCTTCAGAAAAAAACCAAATTTAGAAAAAAATATTTTTTTCATGTACTGGAGCAAGGACTACACTTTGATGGACGTTTCAAGCACTTGTTCAATGATTTTATATGAATATGCTTAACACAATTTCCTAAAAAGCCCTGTTTTTCATAAATAGAGACCAACAAATGTAAACCCCAAGAGGGAAAAAATTTAAAAAATCAAGACAGAGCAGTAGTAGCATCCATGTATTTGAGTTGCCCATCACAGCCACACCTCTCTTTCCTCTGATGAAATTGGAGAGGTCATAAATAAACAGGACAATGCTCTGAACGTGCCCAGCTGGTCCCCTAAGCAGAACTCCTGTTTGTGTACCATACCTGGGTCTCCACGCCCACCATGTGCATACATCAGGATTAACACACAGCACAAGCTTTACAAGACTCCTTTGATGCCAACTGCTGAAGAAAGTGACCCAAAGCATCTGCCAGGGATCTTGGTGATTTTGTGTGTTCTGGCCTGCTTTTATTTTAAAGCTGTTATTCATGTTTTTAGTTGTGTATGTATAAAACCAGATACCTGCTACCTCCTCTGCCATGTATTCCCACAAAGCACTTCATCCAAGTGGGCAGAAAGGTCCATCTGCAAGGAGCTCTGCTACCTAATGGCATAAGTTGAGAAGCCCAGCGAAGGCCTAACTTAATCTTCCCTTCACACGCCATCTTTTCACCAAACCATATTAAAATCCCCAGAGGATCTCTCCAGTGAAGATGGCAATCATTGAACATTTTCCTCAAGGGCTGGCCCCATTTACTCATTAACTTCCTTGATAAATATTACAACTTTATAACCTTCCGTGACACACTTCTTACTAAAAGGTGGGTATTTTTCAGTCAAATCTTCTGCAGACAGCATTGACCTTATTCCAAAGTGACTAATACCAGAAAAGCCCTATAAAGACTGATGACACAATGTCCTCAACTCCCATCGATGTGCACGTGTAAAATAAAAAGTCCATCAGACTGAGCTGCAAATGACATGTTAGTTTGTGATGACAAGGCTTATACTTTCACCTATCTGCACCATAAAACTACAGTTACATCCAGGCTGTCCTGTGCACTTGTTATGGACAGTCAGAGCCATGCATGACTACTACCAAAGGTCATCTTGGCCTGCTACAATATCATAGAATCATAGAATGGGTTGGGTTGGAAGGGACCTCAAAGATCATTGAGTTCCAACCCCCCTGCCATGGGCAGGGACACCTCCCACCAGACCAGGTTGCTCAAGGCCACATCCAGCCTGGCCTTGAACACCTCCAGGGATGGGGCATCCACAACTTCCCTGGGCAACCTGTCCCAGTGCCTCACCACCCTCATAGTAAAAAATTTCTTCCTGATATCTAATCTGAACCTTTTTTCTTCCAATTTAAAACCGTTTCCCCTTGTCCTATCATTACCCTTCCTGGCAAAGAGTCCCTCCCCAGCTCTTCTATAGGCACCCTTCAGGTATTGAAAGGCCGCTATAAGGTCTCCCCGGAGCCTTCTCTTCTTCAGGCTGAACAATCCCAGGTCCCTCAGCCTGTCTTCATAGGAGAGGTGCTCCATCCCTCTGATCATCTTCGTGGCCCTATATATAATATCCTGAGGAGCAAGTGGGAGCAGTTCATCCCCCTGCCTTCAAGCCCCGGATCTACACAAGCCAACAAGCACTTAATTCTCCATTTCATTACCAGGAATAAACACGGCAGTACCAGATCATCCTACAGAAACAGAATCTTGATTTTTGTTTTTATGAAGAACACGGAATTTGCCATCTGAAATTCATCCAAAAAAAGGCATTATCATTTTGATTCACTGTGATTTATGAATGGCAGCTGGAGCTGTAGCTTGGAAACACAGAGAAATATTTCATAGAATCATAGAATTGTCTAGGTTGGAAGAGACCCTTGGGATCATCGAGTCCAACCATCTACCCTACTCTACAAAGTCCTCCCCTACACCCTGTCCCTCAGTACCCCATCTAAACGTCCCTCAAACACATCCAGGGATGGTGACTCAACCACCTCCCTGGGCAGCCTGTTCCAATGCCCGACCACTCTCTCTGTGAAGAATTCCTTCCTAATGTTCAATCTAAACCTACCCTGTTGGAGCTTGAAGCCGTTCCCTCTCGTTCTATTGTTAATTACCTGTGAGAAGAGACCAGCCCCAACCTCTCTACAGTGTCTTTTCAAGTAGTTGTAGAGAGTGATGAGATCTCCCCTCAGCCTCCTCTTCCTCATACTGAACAGCCCCAGCTCCTTCAGACGCTCTTCATATGATTTGTCTTCTAGGCCCTTCACTAGTTTCGCTAGTTTCGTTGCCCTCCCTTTAGCAGACAAAAAATATTGTAGAAAGAAGGTTATGCTCCTATACTCCTAATGAGGCTCGATTGTATGCTTCTGGGCTTAAATTCTTTGAAATACCCATCCCCCCCCAAGACAAAAGTTATCCTGACATATAAACCAAAAAAAGATTTATTAGTTTCATTCCAGACAGTATTTTTTGCGTTTTGTTAGTAGTACCTCAAACCGTGTGAAACGTTTTCTACCTGATATCCAAAGAAGACCATCCACCACATATCCCGCGTGGCACGAGAGCGATCGATCGAAGGACTGTACAAAGGTCCACTTGTTCTTCTTGGGGCAGTAGCGTTCCACGGTAGGTAAGACCTGACGCAGTTCATTCCTGCCCCCTACGGCGTAGAGGTACTCGTCCACCGCTCCCAGCACAAAGTGCTCCCGGCAGTTCTTCATGGGAGCTATCTCAGCCCAGGAGTTCGTGCGGGGGTCGTACCGACAGGCAGTCCTCACGGCACACGTGCGCCCCGTGGAGTGCTCTGCCTCTCCACCAGCTACGAAAAGGAAGTCCCCCATGACAGCCACGCAGTGGTGGCTCCTCCCTAGGGGCATAGGCGCCAGCTCGCTCCAGTTGGCGATCCCTGCGATGTGAACGTTCTCTTGATCCACGGGGTTGAAGTACCGCAGTTCCTTCACTTTACAGACCTCCCGTTTTTTGCCGCCGATGATGTAAAGGGTGTCTGACTGGAAGCGAGGTTTTGTCCTTCTGGTTTGCCAAACTGGCTGTGCATAGACGCTCTGGTGGTAAGCCAAGGCCTCGTTAACGAGCGCTGTGGCAGTTTCGCTAGCTTGGACAAGAGGATGAGAAAGAGCTACGGTGTGCAGGGTATCCACGTCCATAAGGCCAAAGCGGACGTACTGGAGCAGTTCATCCATGTACTGGTAGCGGCAGTTGTGTTCCAACCACCTCACAGCCAGCTAAAAGTGGAGGGAAAGGAAGGGAAAAAAACAAGACACCAATTATTTGTGTACAATTCTGGCAAAATTTGGTCTTTTGAAAACTGTGCTTGCGTTCCAAGAAGAGTTAGATACTTGCCTCAGTAGTGATATCACTCAATATAAAAAGCAGTTGTGAATGTGAGTCAACCTGCTAGAACTCCACCCTTAATATACATAAAAGCTTTGTATTGCACCAGTCCCCCTAAAGAACTTCCACAGCATCATCCGATTGCAACACCGCTACGCAATACTCTTCCTGTGCAAACTGTTAGTGATGCTGCAGGAGATCACAATATCCCAGAATCAAGCTGCTGGAGCAATAATATAAAGGTAGGGAGTATGGGATCACTGGAGACCATGGGAACACTAGAAAGAAAAGTAAGATTACGGTTAGATGATCAGAAAAGCCTTTTCTTCCCTCCATCTTTCATTCTATTTACAACAACATATTGAAGGAATATGAGAAAATACATACTGAATCCTTCAACATTTTTTTTCCTTCTTCATTTATTTTATTCATAAAGTGGTGAGAGATGTAAAGGGACCAGAAATTAAGCCAGAGAAAAGAGACACAAAGAAGAGGTTCTGCTGGTTTGGGACTGACAGAAAACAGGGAGGAAGACACTGAAACTGCTCAGCAATTGCAGCTGGTATCAACAGCCACAACTAAACACAGCCTTTAAATTACATACAGCATTTTGAATCCAACCAGCTCTAAAAAGAGGGTAGGAGGGGCCTAAGCCATTTCAAGAACTATTGTTTGAGTTCTTCTTGAAAACCTCCAGTGATGAAGATGCCTGAAATTCCTCAGGAAAACCACCCCCACACTCAGCTATCCTCTCAGACACATTTTCCTTTTACCCACGCAGCAGCTCTCAGCCCTGCAGCTCACTGCCTCATTTGCCACCTTTGGGTCTACACTCCAGAGCTCAGGAACCCCCAGACCAGCTCCTGAAATCCCTCCTTCATCCATTGATGCTGGATAAAAAGCAATCTGCTACCCTCCTTTCCCCTCCACCTCTGCTGCATTTTGTTATGTGTGTTGCAGTTTCCTCTATGAATGAAAAAGTCATCTTGGGTCATGTTTTCCACACCTCTGTTGCTTGGCTCACCAATCTCTTATTGAAAGGAAATGCCCCTCTTTCTTAATGTTTGCTGTTGAAAACTAGATAAAATCTTCCTCTTAAGGCTACAGCAGCAGTGAATAGATTGGAAGGATTACTTTGATCACAACAATCTGTCCTTCTTGTTTTTAATTCACTACACAACACTGTCAATGCACTATGATATTGCTGATTCACGTTTAAGCTTATGCCTGAGTACTCTTCCCACCTCTTTTTTCTGAAGAACTTCCACAAATTGTCATTCCTTCTCTGTCACTACTGAACTCTCTACTATTTACTTCAGGCCACTGCTGCAATCTGTCAATCCTAATTGTCTTCTCAAAAGTGCTAGAAAACTATCCCACCTTCCGATTGTCTGAAAAGATAAAACCTGTATTATTCTTTCACCCAAGCCACTAACAAAGACACTGGGTGAGGACAGACTCCTCTACTTGAGACTTCGTTTCATCCTGAAAAACAACTTCTGGAGCAGGAGTTTCTAACTAGTTGTGTGATAACAACATTTTCAGCCACAACTTACTGCCCTGTACTGCTCATTGGAATCTCACGTGAAGCGGCTGGAAAGAAAGGCTTCTGTCTTTCTCCAGGCTCTCATATACACATGGTATATCCCTTTTATTGCTGTTTCTATATTCTGTCAGAGAGGGAAGATGACAAATCAAAATCACTTTTTATTAAGATTCATTTGAAACACTTTTGCTCCACTGTGCTATTCAACCCCTGTGAAACAAAGAATCAGTGAAGCGCATCAAAAACAGCAGCAGTAGTTCAGCCGGTGAAATACACAGACACACACCACCCCACCACCTCACACCCACCCACAAACCAATAATCTCAGGCACTAGAGCATGCCCTGAAGAGCCACATCTACACATTTCTTAAATACCTCCAGGGACGGTGACTCCACCACCTCCCTGGGCAGGCTGTTCCAGTGCCTGACCACCCTCTCAGGAAAGTAATTCTTCCTGATATCTAATCTAAACCTCCCCTGCCCCAACTTCAGACCATTTCCTCTGGGCCTGTCATTATTGCCTTGGGAGAAGAGGCCAACACCCACATCTCTACAACCTCCTTTCAGGTAGTTGTAGAGGGCAATGAGATCAAGTTGGTTAAGCAGGGCCTCCCTTTCATAAACCCATGCTGGGTGGCCCTGATCCCTTGCCTGCCCTGCACTTGCCATGAGAGCTCTCCCAAGATGATCCTCTCCATGATCGTTCCCGGTACCGAGGTCAGGCTGACAGACCTATAGTTTCCTGGATCCTCCTTCTGGCCCTTGTTGATGGACGTCACATTGGCCACCCTCCAGCCATCTGGTACCTCTCCTGTTGTACTAAGTTTCAAAATGAGCATTAGCTATATGTATTTAGACTTGTTAGTAAAAAAGGCATTAATTACATACATTTGAAAGTGTTTATGGGCTTGAAATCTTTGAGCATTATATTCAACTCTTCTAAATCCACCAAATCCATGTGTCAGTTGTCTCCTACTGAGTAGTTTTAGGCAACTCCCTACTCCATGTCTTAGGCCATGTGAATTATTCCTTAAAGTCTTCAGAGGCACTTAGCCCTCATCATTGACTAGACACTTGAAACTGGAGTGGAATTCAGGCTATCTTCATCATGATGAAGACACCAACTAAATTCATACCAACTGAATGATGTGTGGGTTTGCTATATTGAAAGATAAGAACTTAGAAAAACTCATGTTCTATCTGTCATTGCTTGCATCCAACAGATTGGTTTCTTTTCCTTATAGTTCATGCCTTCACTCACATCTAAAATGGCACCTTTGCTATAATGACAGATATTACAGACTCTTAAAAGACATGCACCAATGTAATGCAGATCTTGGTAACCACAAGGCTCTTAAAGAAGTTTAACATTAATGCCTGTTCATGTCTCAGAACTTCACCATTTCTCTGTCTTTTATTGTCCTCCCTCCCGCTCCCCAATAAATACTACATAAACACAAAGGCAACACTACATACACTCACACCTTTCAAAGACACAGTGTCTGCATCCATTTCTGCACATGGGATGTGTGACAATCTGCAGCAGAAGGGCTGGACATCTCCATTACAATAGATTTTCTCTGCTGCATTGAAGTTTTGCAAAAGCGACGTGGTTCATACCGAGTTTGGTCTGCATTGAGAGTATTCCTGGAGTTGTAAAAAATGTTTCTGTGAAACTACTAATGCTTATTGTTTCTCTAAAATCACAGAATTTCTAAACCACCACATCGATGGTGCAAAGTGGTACAAAGAGCCTGTCAGTGCTCACAGGAGACGTACAATCTATTCCTGGTCTTGAACCAAAACTTTCTCCATCCTTTCCTACACTATTTCATCCCCACTCATCTGTCCTGCATCTTTATTTATGAAAACTTTTGAATCTTTCCAAATTAAATTTATTGCAACGTCCTTGGGATCCTCTACACGCTGCACCTAAAGGTATCTTTCCCTCCAAGCTTTCCCTTCTGACAAGCAATGGCAGCAGCAACGGGGAGGGTAAGGTGACCCTCAGGCTGCCTTTTGTGTAGGCGGCCACTGGCTCTTCCCAGATCCCACGCCTGAGGTCAGTCTGCAGCGGAGCAGTGCATTATACTGTATGAATTTAGAAAACAGGGTTAAGAACCCAGCACATCACTATATCACCTGGATGGTCTGTAGGCACTTGATAATCAGCCGAGAAGCTCCGCTGTGTCTTAGGGAGGCAACTGAGGTCTGGGAATCACAAGTGCGTTTAGAAGCTCCTGCCCAAATCAGCTCATGCTGAACACGTTGAACACAATCTGACTAGAGTGTTCTGTGTGACCCCCCACACAATCTGTGGCACTCCAAGGCAGAAAAAAAGGTCATAAGAGCTAAAAGCTACAACGTTTTTATCTCTTTGTCTCGCTACTGATAACAACTGTTACTTGATATAATTCCATTTTGGGACAATCCTTAAAAATAACTGCTAGGAACTTAAGCTACAAAAGTAGGTATATTGTGAATATGTATGTATACTCATAGAATACAGGACCAACTCCTAAATTGTGACACAAGGCGTTGGATCAGGTCATATGGTTTTAGGGACACTCAGAAACTAAGCCTTAGACTCACACCCTTGTTACGCAGCACACGTTGTTACGGTGCTGTCTCGCAGAATGTGGTGTCTCACCCTATGGAGACATGGAAGAAAATCAAGTTATCTGTGTGGCTGATCAGCTATTCTAGTTACTGGGTGGTGTGGCAGCTATTGGAAGGCTGGAGAAGTTGAAAAGAAAGGCAATTAAGCTCCCAAATAAACAAGTATTTTGCTTGTAGTAGAAATAGTCACTGATAGACTACAATATAGTTCTAAATTTCCTTCATTGTAAAGGTGGCAAATAAAACTCTCATCAACATATGGCAGAAGCACAAGCTTCCATGAAGCATTTCCGCAAACGTCTGTGTATTTATCAACACAAGTTCCACCACCTTTGCTCAGTTTTTGTTTAATCCAGACTTAGAAACCTGGTGCCTATACATTAACTCCAAAATTCACCCTGACTGTACACTAATTATAGCGCCTATTTTTCAGTCTCTCTGGCAGTAGTGATTAGCAACCATAATCAGTATTGGCAAAATAAACTCAAAGCCATTATACACTTTATGACACTGCAAGGAAAGACACTCAGACTTCTCTAAGGAGACACCAATAGCTTTTGAAATTACAACTGTTTAAAACGCAAACAAGGAAGCAAGCAAAAACAAAGAGAGCAGCCACAATTTTGAGTTTTAAAATATTTGTATCACTGCTAAATAATTTACAAAAATAAGGAAAGACTCCTACTCCTATGCCATACAGGCAAATTCTGTTTAAACTGCTAGAA